TTATTATTATTATTATTATTTGAGTGGAAAGTTTAATGGGCCTTGAAGTATACCTGGGGTATATAGCCGACCCAAGTAATCTTTAATTTTTATTTAAATGATGAAACTCCCACAAGTTTACTGTAGAGTCAACCAGCAGCATAGGATGAACATGATTACCGTTTTCTTACTTTTATGAAAAGAAACTATTTTCAAAACTTTTTCATGTTTTTTTATTATTAAAAAAATTAATTAATAAAAAAGAATTTTCAATAAAAAAGAATTTGGCTTTTTTAAAAAAATATTTTTCTTTTCCATGTTTTTTTTTTACTATTAAAAAAATTTAATTAATAAAAAATAGTTTCCAATAAAACAAATTTGGCTTTAAAAAAAATATTTTGTTTTTATTTTGAATGAAATATATTTTTAAAAAATTACAAAAAATTAAAAAATATTTTTTTATTTATTTTTTAATTTTATCCCTTATAGTTTAATTTAATTTGATTTATATATCAACTTTGATCCTTATTTTTTTAATTATTATTTTTTTTTATCCTTTTCTTAATTGAATTTTTTTATCTGTACGATTTGGTCTTTTTTCTATTTATTTTATTTGAAGAAAATTATAAAATTAAATATTTTTTTCAATTTCACTCTCCTTCAACAATTTCATATATTAGATTTATTCTCAATTTTTAAAATAAATTTAATAAGTTATTTTTTAACTTATTTTCTATAGCATAGTCAAGTATTGAAAAGTTTTTTTCAACTTATTTTTTATGATATTACTAAAAATAAAAAAATAATTTATTTTATATGAATTCACTTAAAAAAAATATTTTTCAGCAAACAAACATGATTTTAATTTAGTTTTTGTTTGGTGAAAGCATATACCATTTTTATTCCCCCCACTTTTATGATGTTGGGCTAAATTAACTAATTTGGTTTAATATAATTCAGTTAAGGTTTTTGATTTATTTATAGATTTTGAAATGTTTTAAAATATAAATATGTATTAAAATTATAACTATATTGAGATTATAACTAAAATTGCATTTTGATAATTTTAATATATTTTATTTGATTGAACTCAATTTAGTGTGAGGATAAAACTTTCATAGGAATTTGTATTTTCATTATTCCTATCACTTTAGAGTAGTAATTCTCTCTCTCTAGGTTTTTATGTATTGTAATTTCATCATCACTCTCTTCTTTATTCTTAGAAAATAAAAGATATAACATTTTATTTATAAAAAAACTTAAAAAATATAACATTTTATTTATAGAAAAACTTAAAAATTTTATAAATAGTAAAATATCAAATTTTCTATTAAATAATATCACAAATAATATTTTAGACTAATTTTAAAAATTTATTCAATCAAATCCTTACTTGATTATTTCTAAGTTTAGAACTATAATACCATATATTGATTACATTCTAATCTTTAATTTATAAAATTTATTTACAATTAAGTTACACTTAATTAATCATTTTATTTTAATTTTTGACTAATAGTTATTATGAGTGTAACTTATTAGGTTTGTTAATAAGTTAGTTTAAATATAAATCATAATTCTAAATAAAGTAGGATTAAATAAATTAAATAATTTAATTTTCTATTAATTTAATAATTAATTGATTTATATTTAAAAATCAAATATAATGTTTAGTAATCTGTTATGATCTTATAAATATTAAGAAAGTTATAAGTGGTTTGACTTAATTTTTTAGTGATTAATTTCTCAGTGTAATTATTATTAATTCATCATAAGTGTTTCAATTTAAATATTATAATATGAAGTATGTCCGCTTTATTAAATCGTTTTAGTTCTCAATATTATAATCATTGATTCTTTGAAAAAAAAAAAAATTCTTTTCAAAACTTGTTTCACATTTGTTAAGGATTTTATAATCAATACTATTTGAAAATATATGAAATATTTTTCTCAATTCATCTAGAATGATAAATCATATCTTGATTACTTAAATACCTTAATATAATTTATGTTATACCCATTATTTACTTATTTGTTACCCTTGATTATGACAACATGTGGTTATGATCAAATCATGAAACTTTCTATATAAAATAATTTAGTAATTTCAAATTTAAATATCACTCATATAACTATCATGAGAACTTTTTTAGAAACACAAGTAATCTTTCCATATGAAATTTTCCTGTAGGTTAGTTCAATGTACGTATCATATTACAAACACTTGTATATTAGTTTTAGGTATCCATCATACCTCAGTTTATGAAAAAAATCATTTTCTTTTATAAAGGAAGAAACATATCATACACCAGAATAATATTGATAAAAAACATTTAGAAACTTAAACTATGATTAATGTGCAGTCTTAATATAATATTGATAAGGAACATTTAGAAACAATATTTTGATGCATTATTAATCTCATAACTATAACAACTTTATAAAGGAAGGAAAATAATATACACTAGAATAATATTGATGAGGAACATTTATAAACCTAAACTCTAATTAATGTCCTGTTTTAATGTAATATTGACAAGAAACATTTAGAAACAATACTTTAATACATTATGAATCTTATAATTATAACAATTTTGTAATTTTTTATGCAAAATATTATCATTCCATAAACTTTATCTTTACTCTAAATTTATTAATTAAATATTAGACTTATTAATCAAATATGATTGAATATTAAAAATAAATAAAATCTTTATTAATAATAAGTGTTTTACATAAATAAAATTAATATTCCGTATAATGAATCAAATGATTACATGACATATTCACTAATAATATGCTTATAATGCATGGAAGCAATCATTTTTGCTATGATATGCATTTCAATATATGATATTTTTAGCATGCATGAAAAGTACTATAATATTTTTTACGATAAATAGGATTCAAAGGCAACTCATAATTTCACATTTTAGATAACGATTTATTTTCTTTCATAAAGATAAGAAAAAAAAATATAATTTATTTTCAAGTAATCACTAATTAAAACACTACCTTCCGGTGCAACACATGATATAAGTGATAGTATTATAACTCTAATTAATATTCATTTTTAGTAAAATATTAACTAGGAATATTTAGAAATAATATTTTGAACAGGATTCAAAAGCAACTCATAATTTCACATTTTAGATAACAATTTATTTTCTTTCATAAAGATAAGAAAAGAAATATATAATTTTTTTTCAAGTAATCACTAATTAAAACACTACTTTCCGGTGCAACACATGATATAAGTGATAGTATTATAACTCTAATTAATATTCATTTTTAGTAAAATATTAACTAGAAATATTTAGAAATAATATTTTGATGCAATATAAATTTTATAATTATAAAAATTTTATAATTTACTTTTCAAAACATTTTCTTTTATCTAATGAACTTTGTATTTACTTTGGATTTATTAATTAAATATTATATTTATTAATCAAATATATATAAATATTAAAAATAAAAAAACTTTTATTAATAATAAGTATATTTTATATGAATAAAACGAGTTTGATTTATAACCAACTGATTTACTATAAAATATATTCACTAACAATTAAGCTATATGAGAATCATTAGACATCAAATATAGCATAGCTTATCTTTGCAAAAGATGTAGAATGTTGTTTTTTGTTTTCTTACCTTACAATTAAATTTGAATGCTAGTAATTTTCCCTTGGATTGTTGGCAGGGACTTGCCTTGTTGAACCTGTCTGCTATCCTTCATTCTCTCAATTTCAAGTTATTAGACCAACGAAGGGAATTGCTTCTTTACTAGAATTGGTCAGGTTTTCGTTGCAGCAACGATCGAGGAATATGCGGACCATGGAAGCTGATCATAGAACCTTGGCCCATGAAAGCTGTGACCAACTCAAGTAACAGAAACTCCATGTGAACAACTGGAACTTTAATGTTGTCTAGATAAAGAAGTTCCTTGACCTGGAAATTTGGATCCTCCAATGTTACAGGTTCATCAACAAAGCCTTGCTTGCGCTGGATATTTGCTTTGAAGAAGACGGGGTATGCAGTATTGATGAAGATCAAGAAGCGAAGGCAGTGCCAAGGCTTATTCCTATAAGGCTACAAATCTATTATATGCCATTGTAGATGCACACTAAACATTTTTCACCATGCAAGGAGCTAGTAAGGATAGAACAATTGCATCAGGCTTCATAATACTAACTGCTACGCTTCTATCCTTCACAAACCTGACAATAGTTATGCTAGTCCCTGTCTTTGATCGCATCTGTCCCTTTATCAAGAGCTTTAGCTAGGAAACCCACTGGAAT